TATCCCCACTCATGGTCTCAAGATGCTGTCAGTGACCCCTAGGGCTACTTGCTTCTAGCTTGGAATCCATTAGGAAAGAGAAAGCCTCTATCTCCTGCACGTTCCTAGAATTGGCGTGGGTCATGTGCTAATAATCTTTGTACTCAAAATTGTAATTAGGAAGATGGTCTACGTAGTTGGTTTAAGCTACTCTGGGCCTGACGTGTAGTTATGGAGGGGAACTGAATCCACCCAGATGATAGGAGTAAGGAATTTGGAGCACTGGTAGCCAAGGGAAAGGGGAAAACAGTCAAATATCTATTATCCCTAGCTTTACATAGGATTGGATTTGGAGCACTGAGGTGGGTGTTTGATATTTATTTTTTTGTAGCTGGTGTGTGTCACACTCTCCAAATATTAGGGTTAGTTTCCATTTCTGGTTGTGGGGGCCATTACTATTTCTGGCTTTCTGCTTTTGGACACATACTGACTCTGGTCGATGAGTTGTGAGCGTTCGGGTTGAAGCATTGTGTTGTGGATGCCAGACCCTTCAGAGCTTTCTCTTTCTCTTTGGTGCTGCCACTAGAAGCATTCAATTATGCTGGCTGGTTGGTCCATTGTGAGAAACGGAACAGTGGTGGGCAGTTTCCTGCTGGCTCATGTTGGACAAAGTAGCATTAGCAAGAAATAAACTCTTATTATGTTATGGCACGAATATTCTGGAGTTGTTTGTTACTGTGGCATACCCAGCTTATCCTGCCCTAGTCCATTAAATTTCCTAAATCCATTTGATTAGTTAGGGGTTGGTCACAAAAATCCCATATTTGTCAATTTTTTTGATTTAGAAAAGAGTGCTTTCATATCTATGATTTCATTTTATCTCCACAGCAGTCTTGTAAATATACAGATGAGAAATATTATTAGCTACATTTTGCCAGTTGAAGAGTTGAGGCCAACTCCCCAAGGGCTCTGTTTACTAATTTATCAATGTTTGTTATTTTCTATCTGTTTTGTTTTCTTAAGCAATACGATTACACTGTAAAATCTCATTATCAAAATGGTGCTTCTCATTTTCTTAATACTTTAGTTTATGGCTCACCTCTGAAGATTTTATCATTTTTTTACTTTGTTCTTTCTCTGTACCAGTAGTCAATGTTGAAACGTAAAGGGCTTTGGCCTCTGCTGCTTCTGTTGGAAGCTAAACTAAGGGAGTGCGCATCTGTACCATTAGCTTGTATTGAACTTTGTCGGTGGCCACGAGAATCTCTCTGGAGGGGGACTGATTGGGAGCATCAGGAAGCTGCGATCATACATCGGGCAGTAGATGACCAGAGCTCCTACCAAGGAGGTTGACTCAAGGGGAAAAGATAGATGTACCGTGTTTTCCTTTGTAAGAAAATGGCAACAGGCTAGAAATACAGAGGAAGAGAGAGGAAGGGCTGATTGCTCTGAAAGCAGAAGAGACGTTGCGTTGCACTGAATTGGGAAAGCGTAGTGCTGAACAGGGTGGGCTCTGGAGGCAGAGTGCCTGGATTCAAATCCTGTTTCTACCACTTACAAACTGTATAACCTTGTATAAATTACTTAATCTCTCTAAACTTGGGATTTCTCTTCTATAGAATGGGGATAACCATACCTATTTCATAAGAATGTTGTGAGGGTAAAATGAGCTATGAACTGTAAAGCCCACAGAACAGTACACATAGTAAAAGCTTGATAAATATCAGCTGCTATTATTATCATTATTATTATTCCTTGCCCCTCCTTCCACCACTGCCCCTTGTCCAAGCCACCCATCATACCTCACCTGGACTAATTAAAAAACCTCCTCATTGGTCTTCTCACATCTATTCTAGGGTCATATCCAATTTGTTCTCTACCCTGTAGCTAGGGAAATCTTTTAAAATTAGAATCTCATCAAGTTACTTCTTTGTTGAAAATCTTTCAGTAATTCCCTCTCTACTTATGCTTTTAGACTTTATAATAAAGACAAATTCTTAGTAGAGACTCCAAGGAACTTCTCTTGCTAGCGTCAGTTTGTGCTGACCTCCACAGCACAGCCTCACAGTCCCTCTTTGAGAGCCCCAGGTACATCATCCCCCTGCCTACCCCAGGGTCTTTGTGTTGATTTATTTTACAGGAGCAATGCTTTTTCCTTATCTTGATATTGCCTTCCAGGTAGAGGGGTCTCTGGTGGGGCGACTCTTCTCTCTACCCCTTTACTAACTCTGCCCTATGGAAAGTGGAGTCATTTACTTGATATGTCAATCTTGGAGGAATATGTGGACCTCCCCACCTCAGCTCTGTCCTCTTTCTGGAAGCGAGCTTCCCACGGGGAGCTGGTGGTCTCTGATGTTTTAGGGGCAAGCTCTTTCCCACTACATGGGAGGCCTGCTCTGGCTGAGGATTGCCTACGATTCTGTGGTTAAGCCCACCTTGTCATGGGGTCAGTTAGGTGGCCCACCTGGCTAGCAAACTAGAACTATGACTTCCGGCCGGGCTTCTGTTAGCACTAAAGAGGCTGTATAGATTCTCCAGATGTACTTCTTTCTCTTTGCTCGTCTTTCTCCTCTTCGTCCTCCTCTCTTCCGAATTGGGATGTTTCTAGCAGTCCAAGTAAAAAAGCAGTGCTAAGAGGATAGTGGCAAAAATCTTCTGTGCTGTATTATGGAATGAATTGTACTAAAATTGTACTAAAATACCAATAAACTGGCTCAGTGAAATGACTGAATGTTGATGTGCCTGATTTAAGGTCTTACCTGTACTCATATCTTGGACAGGGCAGTGGATATGGACAGTTTTCCTTTCCTTTGACAAAAATAGAAAAATAAATGGGTGCAGAGATCCTCCAGGAGGGGGAGCCCTCGCTCCTTGTTCCCAGGCACGGCCGTGAAATTTACGTCATCCGCGGCTCAGTCACAACAGAGCCAGAACAAACACAGTCATTGCTGCATGTCAAATAAGCACAAAGGATATCGCCACCGTCCCCACCCCACTGGGCATGATCACTTTATCCCACACGGTTGCCTCTTCACCTGTGTGGAATTCAGTTTTGTGGGAGCCTTTCGTTATGATTTCTGCCATAGTTTTGAGTGTCCCAGCAGATGTCCTGTCTTTTTAACAAGATACAGGCTATTTTACTTTCAGCTTAGTAGAAAATATAAAACAGAATTAGGAATATGTGATCCTTTAGTTGATTGTTTTTTCTCCTTAGCTTTCCTCTTCCTGGTTATTTTTCCAAGTGCCATCCTTAGAAAACTGTGACTGACAGCTCTCACAGCCTCCCTTCCCAGCCTAGATCTTGAGCAGATAGAAGTCGTCCTCAGCTAGCAGAGCGGTTTTCAACACGTTACTATGTATTAGACCAGCTATGCTGGAAACTCTTCTCTTGACACTTCTGTTACTCTCTCTCAACTTGCTGGGCAGAGCCAGACATGTTGATTCCTGGTAAATGTTAAAAATGGCCACTTAACGGATGACTGTATTTTCTTTAAACAGGTGCAAAGATTATTAGGAGTCAATGTAGTTTCACTTAAAATAAGTCACACGGAGTAACCTCAGTTTTAAAATATTAGCGGAGGAAGTTTCTCTAGACGTGTTGATTTTAAATTTTAGCAAGACTTTTCCCAAATTTCTCATACTATTTTTGTGGGTAAGATAGAGTTAAGCCTCATGTGAGTATAGTCAAATACATTTATAAATGGTTAAATAAAACATATTTAATGTGTTTTATATGAATACCTGAAAAAGATGTTAACATTAATCTTTGGAAAGGTCTCTAGTAGCTGGCCATAGTTTTGTTTTTTCAATTAAAATTGTTCTTTGGTCTTTAGTTTTAGCCTTTTAAATGTATTTAGTCTATAGTTTTGGAAGACTATATAAGAGGCATGCATTTGAAATTTTTTGATGACACAAAATAATAGTTTGGGATATATACTCAAGGTCTACATTTTTTTTCATTAGGCTAACATAATAGGAATATATGAAAGATCTTGTACATCAATATTTAAAAAAAATCAATTGTGAATGTTTAAGGAGAGACTTGATTTAATAGTGATTTGTGAAGATATGATCTAGAGATTTTGATTTATTACAACTTAATATGAATAAACAGTGAGATACAATTACCAAAATGTTAATGAAATTTTAAGGCATGTTAATTCAGTGGTCCAGAAAACAGAATCTAAAAGTCTCTACCATACATGGGCTTGTTTGAGCCAGATCTTCGATCTGTGTTTGCTTCTGGGCACCACACATTCAGAGATGCGGAGAAGTTGGGATGGATCCAGAAGAGGAAGAAATGTGTATAAAATAAGTCATGGAGAATGGCTGAAGGGTTAGGAAATGTCTATCAGAATAGAGAAGATTTAGGGGGGGTCCTATGAGCACCCTTCAAATATTTGAAGGTTTTCAATGTGGAAAGGATTTAGACTTGGTCTAGGTGGCCCTACGGATGGAATTTGGCACACGGCAAAAAGTTATAGGGAGGAAGACTTGGGTTTCTAATAATGAAGACCTTTTTGGCAATTCCCATTCTGAAGTGGAAACAGGCTCCCTTGCAAAATGGTTAGTTTCCCATCAGAAAGCACTTTCAGAGACAGGCCTAGTGGCCCCTTGTCGGAGTTATCAAAAGGGTCATGCTGGGAAAATGGGCCAGATGATTCTGTAAGTTCCTTTTACCTAATGGGACTCAGCACAAGCTCAGTGTTTGCATACAGTAGGTGCTCAAGCAGTATCTGCCAAGTGAATAGATGCATGAGAGTGAAATATCTCAGGGGCGAACTTTTGGACTTGATACCTTTTTTAGTCACGGATGATTTTATGGCATTGAGTGGTAAGGAGTGTGTCTTCTTGGGAAAAATGAAGGCCTTGGGCCACACAGAGTTTTAAATTTCCTAGATAACTGGTTTATCTTTCTTGCTCTGGCATAACTCATGCTCAGCCCTTTAAGTTTTAGAGCTGTTTCTGATAATGAGCAATGCCTTGCCACAAACTGATATGATGCTATTTTTTTTTTTTAGGATAATCGTATCCACACATCCAAGTACAACATTCTCACCTTCTTGCCAATTAATCTATTTGAACAGTTCCAAAGAGTGGCAAATGCCTATTTCCTTTTCCTTCTGATTTTACAGGTAATGTTTAAGTTGTATTTCTTCATCATCTGTTTGTTAAAACTATTCATGTGAGTTGAAAGAATAGGTTGATGCACTTAACTCAATGTTCATGATTAGGTAAAATTGTCCTTATCAGATTTTTAATGTTGTTACTGCTGCTTCTCTTCACAAAAGTGGGAGGGCTAGGAGTGGGTAAAAACTAGTACATTCATCATTTTAAACACTGAGGTCATTTAAAAATGCAGCCTTGCACTTTATTTGAACCAGACCAGAGCCTAATAATTACTGTTCAGAGCCTCCCTCCTTCTTTATCTGCCTCTCACGTCGACAGTACAGCTATTGCCAGAGTTGAGGCAAACAGTCTAGCTGAGTAGTGGGTTTTAGTTTGTGGAATTTAATTTAGCAAATTTCATTTGTATCAAAAAAAACTAACATACACACACATACACAAACATATAAAATAAACAATGTAGGTTATATATTATTTCACTGTATTTTTTTACAGTTTTGAGTGACTAATTGGTAGTAAGTAAACTTTCCTTAGCCTCTCACCTGACTAAAATTTGGGCTTAGATGAAATGTCAGCTTTTACTGATATTTTAGGAAGGAAAAAACCATAAATCAAAGAATATACACACATATGGACAGTTTATTTTAGCCAGTTATCTAACCAGTATTTATTTTAGAGTAATTTAATCAGACCAAATAGGTAGGTTCAGAACATGCTGGCCTCTGTGTTAATTATAAGGGGTAAGAAGATGGATTAGATTTGTGCAGTTTAATAGCTTTGAGTATCATTTTTTTCTTTCATTGAATAGCTGTATTAAGAATCTTTGTTGTTAAGTGTCAGAGACCTAAAATTTGTGTAAGCCCAAAGGGAATCTGTTCAGGAGCATATCTCATTTCATGTCTGACAGGATTCATGGGCAGACTGTTTCAATGGGATGTGAGTTGTCTTTCCTCCATGTTGGACTTACTCTCAGGCAGGGCCCCCCCCCCACCTGGTGGCCCCTAAAAGCTTCAGACTTTCACCCTCCTGGCTGCAATTCCAACATGAGAGAGAGGCAGAGGGAAAGGGAGAAGGGGAGGAAAAGGAGAAGAGAGGAGAGAAAGACAGAGAATGAATGACTTTGGGGTTGCTCTGATAAGCCTTGAGATTAGCCCTGATCATACCTGCTGAGTTAATCCATATTCCTAAACTGATCACCGTGGCTCAAGAATCTGGTATAATGTTTGTGTTGACTTAGATCACGTGCCAAAACATGGAGCCAGGATGGAATCAATCTACCCCAAAATTACAAGGCCTGGCAATAGAAGGGGTGGCATAGTTCCTTAAGACCTGAGGGTATAGTTGAAAGAACTGGATGCTGAAGAGGAAAGAAAAATGTAATGAATATATACCTTACAATTTATTGAAGAGACCTTCAAATCCCAGATATCTTTCTTTTTTTTTCTCTGTGAATTTGCCTTTGGTTTCTTCATATGCCCCTTTACTTCGTTCTAGAATTTTGAGCTCATTTCTTTAAGGGCTTTCTTATGTGTGGTCTAAGGCTCTTGTTCACAGAATTTTGTATCTGGAAGGGGCCTTTGGGCTGGGTTAGCCCAACCTCCTTTCTTTTGTTGATGAAGAAATGAGATTCAGGAAGGGTGGATGACATGTAAAGCTTTTACCATGATTTAATGATAGACTGAGTATGAGAATCCAGCTTTCCTGCTACCTACCCAATGTTTTTGTTGGTACGTCAGAGACTTTTTTGAGTTTTTTTTTTGTTTTTAAATTTCATGTGAAAGCTGTGATATAAAATTGGTTTAGTTTGGAGCTGTTTTGATAGGGTCTGATCTCCTTACACTGACCATTTCCACCCCACTCTTCCACACCCGATGTCCCTGAAGCAGCTCCTTGTTCAACCCATTTGAAAACCATGTTTCTAAGACAGTCATGTGAACTGTCCCTTTGTCCAACACAGGTGAGTGACTTTGGTGGTATAGGCACTGGCTTAGGAGTCAAATAGATCTAAATTCAAATTTTAGCAGCCTATATTTTGGTCCAAGTTCTTGACCTCTCAGGTAACTTATTTATAAAATGGGAAGATGATACCTAGGACTGCAGTGTTTCCTGACTCCAGGGCGCCTTTCACAGTGTGTTCTGTGTTATGCACTGGGGGTGCTATTTAATGGAATACGAATCCTATGGGCTTGTGCAAAAACAACTCTGGTACAAAATCTAACGCAATATATAGAAAATATTTAGCACAGTATCTGGTGCAATATAGATGCTCAAAGAATCTCTTAGAATTGGTGAGTAGTTGGTAAAATTATTGAAAGTTGATATGAAAACCTGAGAAAAGACAAGGAACATTTGTCATCCTGGGGAAAGATCATTATCTGTGAAAGATTTCAAGAAGTTTGCTTCTCATCTTGCTATAAAAATTTTATTTTTTGTCAGGTAGTCTGAAAACTGATTCAGTGGTACTTCTGTGTGTCTTATAACTGAATGCAAACACTTAAATTATTGAAAGGTGTTCTGAATCTACTCCTGTTAATTCATGTCAAATCTTATGTAAATGACAAAATTTGGAAGATATACTTCCTAACTTAAAACCTTTAAACCATTTGAAATGTTTGTTTCAGCTGATTCCAGAAATCTCCTCCTTGACCTGGTTCACCACCATTGTGCCTTTGGTACTGGTGATAACTATGACAGCTGTCAAAGATGCCACAGATGACTATGTGAGTATTTGCATTTGCGCACCCCTGAGGTCTCAATTTCAATTATGCTATCTCAGAAATAGACAGTAGAGATACTAAAACTGAAATTTTGAATAAAGCTCTTTTAGTCAATATCATATAAAACCTTTTTGCTATTTGCTTAATGGCTACTGCAGGTGTCACAGCACTGAGCCTGCTATGACAAAACAAGAGGTCTTCCATAACTATACTCATTCCATTATTCTACAGATGAGGAAACTAAGGTCTGTAAAGACAGATTTGCTAAGGATCATACAACGAATTAGTGGTAAGATCAGAATTAGAACACAGACCTGCTTCTACCCAGTGAAGTATAATTTATCCTCTGTCACATGTCTAAGTTTTGGAAACTGGTAGATATTAGGCATCTTACATCTTCTGCTTATTATACAAGGAATTACAAAGTCCTATAACTTCAGAAGTTAAGCAACTAATGTAAGTAAGTGAAATATTTTAGGCAATAGAGAGTTTTGAAGTCTGCATAATTTAAAGGAGGCTTTCCAAATATCCAATATCCTATATATATAATAAATAGATTATATATTTTTGTGTATATATATATATGTGTATATATATGTATACACAATATATATATATATGTATTTATAGTTGTTCCAGAGTTTAACTTAGCAGTGGGACAATTTGGCTTCAGCCCACTGGCCCTTATTCACCACACTCCTCTGTGCTAAACTATATGGGGGATGAAAAATCTAACATTCATGACCTGATGTTAATAAAAAGCTTAAATTCCGCACATGATTTACGATACTATGAGAATAAAAAGTGGTGAGTCATAATAAAGAAACAAAGTTCTTTGTGGGAGGAAGGTGTCCTGCAGCAGCTAGGCTGGTAGTGGAGATGGAGTGTGAGAGAGAGAATTAGGAAGGCTTCATGGAGAGTATGGGAACCCTGTTCCACCGAGAGTGGTTGAGTGTGGGAAAGTGGGGTGGGGAGATCTGAACTTACCAGGTTGGTTCATATGATCCTTCCTAGTAGTTGTATGTATAATTTTTTCTGATAAATCAACAATTTGATGTGACTCATTTGAAAATTGTGTGTGTGTGTGTGTGTGTGTATATATCTAAAGTGTATTTGTCTTCATGTACCATGTTTTTGTAGGACACACAGGATCTAACTCTTTGAATTTTTACTTAGAGGCCTAATGTATTTCATGGTGCATGTTGTGACTATAACTTTTGAGTCTAGATTTTTAACTGGCATGCAGGACCTATTCATTACAGATGAACAATACCACTATGGGTGGTTAGTTTGGGACGTTCCTGGAATCCACCCATTCCTGTGAGGTTGCCATTGCTCAAGGTACTTTGGACACCTCACATAGCATTGTCTCTGTGGTCAGTGTACAAGATACAGAAGAAAAGCAATCGCATGACTTTGTGTTCATTCAGCTTTGGAAACAAATGGCATGTCTCAGCCCCTAAAAATCTTGTTTACCCCACTTGCTTTCTAAGGGAGGCTTCTGTATATTTCCAAATGTAAAATACCCTTCCATGTCTTTCTAAGGATAGATAACTCCATCTTCAAAGAATAAAAGATATTCCAGACAATGAGCTATATCTCAAGAGGTAATTCTAGGAGAGGAAATTTCAACAATAATTTGGATAATGATATCTTTGGAGTAAATGTGTGACTTCTCTACATTAACTAATTTTTCATGGAAATAGTACTCATTTAGATAATGAATTCCTACATATTGCTTTTAAAGGTCTTATTCATTACAGTCACACTTTATAGGAGGGCAAAATGGTAGAACAGAAAGAACATGGACTTTGGAGAAAGATGCCTACATGTCCCAGATGTGTGGCATGGGGGAAACCCCTTCTCTGAACCTTTCCTTATCTATAAAATGTGGCCAATAGCAATAGCGCTGTTGGGAGGGCAAAATGAAATAGTGTGTCTAAAGCACCTGGCACAGAGCCTGGCTCACGGTGTGTACCTGATCAGTGCTCGTCCTCTGCTCGCTTCCTGTCCTAGGCAGTTCCCCTCTATGCCTTCACATCAGTTTCTAGGGTAGAAATCATTAAGAAGAGCCAGCTTGGGCCTGAGACTACCACTTCTAAGTCCTCCCAGAGTCTGTCTGTTCCAATACCCGACCCCTCAGCAAAGCCTGAGGAGAAGTGGAGTTGCCCCCCCTTGAAGCCCAGAGAGTGAGTGGGCTGCTTAGCTTTTGGGAGTAAACTGATTGGTCCTTCTCTATGAGGCTCAGCTAGTCAATTTAGGGCACTGTTTTCAGGTTAGATATAGATGTGGCTAAATACTAGGTCTCCTTTGGTCTCTACTGTAGTTAATGCTTGAATATGCTTTTATTGTGATAGTATGTGTGGGTTTGACAACCAGGTATATTTATCAGTCTTGGCAGGAAACAGATGTCACCCTGAAATGAGGAAAACAGGAGAAAGAGTAATAATGAAAGGACCATTTACAAAGGGCATAGAGAAAGAAAAGCACACAGGTAGCACCACGGGTGCTTCTCAGCCTGAAGGGGCCAAAGGAGGAAGCATTTGCCAGTTCTGGAGCTGCCACTGAGGGCTGCTTGTGGCATCTGGGGCAACCTGTAGAGGAAGCAGCTATTGCTAACCCAGCTTGAAGGAAGTGAGGGAATAAATACCCCATTTCTCTTTCCTCTGGCTCTCAGGTCTTTTACCAGTACCAGGGAAGACCACCTAGAAGTCAGAGGTCAAGGACCATATAGATAAGCTTCCCATGGCACAGGGCAGACTGGAGAAGGATGGGTGGAGAGTTGCGGAAGAGCAAACGGACTATCCATGACCTTCGTCAAATTAAACACCAAGACAAATTATGTTTCCATTTCTATTTTACTGCAGATAGGGAAACATTTGCATGCCAATGATGGACTGACTTCATCTACTCTTCTACCAATGTTATAAACTCTTTTCATGTTAACAAATGCTAAATATCTTATTTTGCCTGGTAATATTCATTAACTTATACCAGGCAATAAATGTAATCAGAAATTTATGTAATTTCTGGGGCCACAAAAACAGATCTTAACATTTGGTGACTTTCTCTTTTAATTGAATATGTCTCTTTGCCCCTTTAACTTATAAAAAATTGCAATGTAAGTCTATTTCATCTCCACGGCTTATTAAAAAAATGTTCAGCAAATGAACATTAGCATTATAGAAAGATTGGGATGGGTTTGGAATAGATGTCGAAGAAGGGAAGGGCGAAGCATTTTATATATTATGATATTGACATAATATTTTGAAAAATGTTTAAAAGAAAAAAGCATTGATCCTGATTATTACAATCTATGATCAAACTTCCATGTTTCCTGAGACTACTCTGTTCATCTGTGCATTTAGGCTAATTGGTTGAAATAATAACTTATCTTTACTTCGGTTCATGTAGAAAGTCTTACCTGAATGGCTGCTAATTTATGACTTTTGTAGAGGGTTCATAATATTTGGATTCTTCTAAGCAATATAAGATAATTACATTACTAGAATATACAGTAAGAAATAGTATCACTTGGTTATGAAAACACAAATCTGCAAGTGTGATTCAATATTGTATATTGATTTTTGTCTTAAATGTTCAGTATTTCATAAGATTACTGCTAACAATTAGAACTTCTAGAGAATAAAAATACATGTTGTTACAAGTAATTCTTGACTTCAAAGAAATCCATAAAACAGAATGAATGATGTTCCAATAAAGTATTGAGCACATATGTGAGAAAAATAGAAGCCTCCATTCTTTGTTGAACACATCAAAATTAATATATGGCTTTCTCTGGAACTATTGGCACAGTAAAAGGCATATTGTCTTATTCGAAGCAATAAAAATGTGTGGGAATTGGAAGGTGCTTGTGGCTAGACTTACCCCATTGAGAGCACCCAGCATGAGGGTTAGTGAGAAGGGTGTTGATTCAGATTTAGAATATGTGGAGCTGGGTCCAACATAATCATAAACCACGTTAATTTTGGATCGAGGGCAATATTGTCTAGGTATGTGAACTCAAAGTATTTTCAGTGTCCCTATTTGTGCTAAGACTGTATGATTTAGTCTGTTTTTTTCACAAACACTTTGATTTTCAGTTTCGCCACAGGAGTGATAACCAAGTGAATAACCGGCAATCGGAAGTACTCATCGACAGCAAGTAAGAAATACATTCTTTGGGTTATTTTTAAGATTTTTGGAACCACAACACAGATCTTAACATTTGGTGACTTTCTCTTTTCATTAAATATGTTTCTTTCCCCCTTTAATCTGTTAAAAATTGCAACATAAGTCTATTTCATCTTCATGGCTTTTCTTATTTAACGTTCAGCAAATGTCTGTGCTATCTGCTCAACTTTTACTTCAGATACCTTTGGAGTTTCTTTGGTGGAACACAGACTTATCATTGTCACTTTTCTAGACCTAAAACCATACTGACTTCATCTACTCTTCTACCAATGTTATAAACTCTTTTCATGTTAACAAATGCTAAATATCTTATTTTGCCTGGTAATATTCATTAACTTATACCAGGCAATAAATGTAATCAGAAATTTATGTAATTTCTGGGGCCACAAAAACAGATCTTAACATTTGGTGACTTTCTCTTTTAATTGAATATGTCTCTTTGCCCCTTTAACTTATAAAAAATTGCAATGTAAGTCTATTTCATCTCCACGGCTTATTAAAAAAATGTTCAGCAAATGAACATTAGCATTATAGAAAGATTGGGATGGGTTTGGAATAGATGTCGAAGAAGGGAAGGGCGAAGCATTTTATATATTATGATATTGACATAATATTTTGAAAAATGTTTAAAAGAAAAAAGCATTGATCCTGATTATTACAATCTATGATCAAACTTCCATGTTTCCTGAGACTACTCTGTTCATCTGTGCATTTAGGCTAATTGGTTGAAATAATAACTTATCTTTACTTCGGTTCATGTAGAAAGTCTTACCTGAATGGCTGCTAATTTATGACTTTTGTAGAGGGTTCATAATATTTGGATTCTTCTAAGCAATATAAGATAATTACATTACTAGAATATACAGTAAGAAATAGTATCACTTGGTTATGAAAACACAAATCTGCAAGTGTGATTCAATATTGTATATTGATTTTTGTCTTAAATGTTCAGTATTTCATAAGATTACTGCTAACAATTAGAACTTCTAGAGAATAAAAATACATGTTGTTACAAGTAATTCTTGACTTCAAAGAAATCCATAAAACAGAATGAATGATGTTCCAATAAAGTATTGAGCACATATGTGAGAAAAATAGAAGCCTCCATTCTTTGTTGAACACATCAAAATTAATATATGGCTTTCTCTGGAACTATTGGCACAGTAAAAGGCATATTGTCTTATTCGAAGCAATAAAAATGTGTGGGAATTGGAAGGTGCTTGTGGCTAGACTTACCCCATTGAGAGCACCCAGCATGAGGGTTAGTGAGAAGGGTGTTGATTCAGATTTAGAATATGTGGAGCTGGGTCCAACATAATCATAAACCACGTTAATTTTGGATCGAGGGCAATATTGTCTAGGTATGTGAACTCAAAGTATTTTCAGTGTCCCTATTTGTGCTAAGACTGTATGATTTAGTCTGTTTTTTTCACAAACACTTTGATTTTCAGTTTCGCCACAGGAGTGATAACCAAGTGAATAACCGGCAATCGGAAGTACTCATCGACAGCAAGTAAGAAATACATTCTTTGGGTTATTTTTAAGATTTTTGGAACCACAACACAGATCTTAACATTTGGTGACTTTCTCTTTTCATTAAATATGTTTCTTTCCCCCTTTAATCTGTTAAAAATTGCAACATAAGTCTATTTCATCTTCATGGCTTTTCTTATTTAACGTTCAGCAAATGTCTGTGCTATCTGCTCAACTTTTACTTCAGATACCTTTGGAGTTTCTTTGGTGGAACACAGACTTATCATTGTCACTTTTCTAGACCTAAAACCATTTAGAATTGGCACACGTGTTATACCTTGTATGTAGTAAATGTTTCATACATATTTGAATTACTTAATTTGGGATTGTCTGGAGAATATTGCAGGAGTGGCTTTGACACATCACTGTATCAAGTAATAGTGATAAAAATTTTATATTTACTTGCTAGTTGAATTTAGGGTGTATTATCTACCATAAAACAGATTTTTCATTGCTTTCAAATTGATTCATCAACAAAGAAATACTTATGGATATACTTCTTGAATCTGAAATGCTTTAAAATAAGGTATTTACACACAAACAACAACAAAACATCTCCAAGAAACTTAACAAAGGTAAATTCCAAGCTTTCATTCCACTGTTTCTTAGTCTCCTTCTCTTGGTCCCTTTTTTGCTAATAATAACATGTGGCAAAGTAAGTCTGTAAAAATGTACTTCAATCTGGCAGTCAATCACATCTCCTCATGATTTTGAATCATTTGGAATTGTGAATAATATAGTTTTTAAAGGGAATATCATAAAATGAATTAATCACATGAGATGGAAAATTCTAAGAAGTGATAAAGATATCAAGAGGGTCTAGGTAGCCTAGGTAATAATGGTAGGATTAAAGTAATTCATCTCTTTCCATAACTAAAACGTTGACTGATTACTAATAACATAATGTATACATATAGTTTTTCCTTATTGGCTTGTTTTAGGAAATGGTGCTAAATGCACAGCAAAGAAAAATTACCTTAATCTAAAATACACAGTTGAAGAGACAGACTCTGAAAGGGTGATCCTGGTATGAAAGGCTGAAACATAAAGATGCCTGGGACTGTGCGGTTCATTTCCAGTGTTATCATGTTTTGAATCCTGCCACCATAGTTTGGTGTTAAAAAGCATGGGTTTTGCATTCAGGAGACTTATGTATGAGTTTAGTCCTACCCTAAATGATTCTGTGGTCTTGAGCAGGTTCTTAAATGATGGTGACTCTTTGTAGCTAATGTGGTGTGTGGCTTTTGGCTATACTGTTGCATTTCTTGACTTGGCCAAGTCCTGAGGTTCTGAATGGGTATTACATCTCAAATTAATATGATATAACTAATTCCACAAGGGACATTTGATGATCAGTCTCATTACTTTGAAGTATCATCTCATATAAAGTGTGTTAAAGATAGGTACAATTACACACTGAGTTTGAACTAATGGCCCCAGCATATCTTTTAATGTCTCTCAAATCACCAGTTATATTTGTAGAAGTAGCAGTGCCCCTGCCTCTCGCTGGACAGGCTCTTTGGTGTAATTTGCACTCTCCAGCACTTGTCAAGACCAGGTTGATGGGAGTTCGCCTGCAATTACACCCTTTTGTGGCTTCTTCCCTTTATTCGTGTTGCTTGACTTCTCCCTTACCAGTTTCTCCTGGAAGTACTTTCCTAATGAACCACTTGCATGCGAATCCTCATCTCAGGATCTGCTTCTAGGGAACTTGATCTAAGACAGTGGTTAACATATACTTAATCTCATGGATAATTAATGAAAAATATTAGGAATGTGCTTTTGGGTCTATCCTTGGCACCTGTGGGTCATGAGCCAGGAATAAAGAAGTCAGGTGTTGCTGGAGGTGGGTGTCACACTGGGGTGTACACTGCCAGGTACTGTGGCTTTCCTTGTGTGCCCCTGGCAGAAAGTCTTAGACTCGGGGTCTTCATGCCAGGGCAGGAGCCAGTGCACTCGTCTGGAGGACAGGGAGGCATGGTCCACCTTGGGCAGGAGGTCCCTGAGGGAAAGGGGTGGAACAGGAGCACCCGTCAGGAAACCTGGGGCCATATTAATAATCACTATATGACTTTGGACAATTTGGTAAAGGGGGAACTACTGTACCGTTTGCTGATAGAATCTATGAATATCAACAGCTACTTCAGTGTTTTATAAGAGGACACTTTCTCAACTCATGTAAACATTCCTGGCTATTGTGGAAGCCACTGGGCAGGTGAGGGGCTATGAGAAGGAGTCTGAATGTTCACACAGAGGTCATCTAGTCTAATGCTCCTCAACAGGGGCTGCTCATTTTTATCAGTGTCCCAGCCACCCCAAGAGCAGTTAAATGAGGGTCTTGGAGGTGAGGCCCTGGTGTTTTTTAAGTTTCCAAGGTGATTGTAATATGCAGACAGAGTTGAGAACTTTTCTTAGAGTTGAGAAATTAGAAGAAAATAATAGCCATACTTACTGTCTAAAAGTAATTATTGTTACTATTTTCTTGTATTTCCTTTGTCTTTTTTTAGTATGCCAAGATTTAAAAAAAAATATGTATTTTTATCCTTCTGTTTCATTTCACATCATAGCCGTGCCATTTTCCCAAAGTCTTTTTATGCCTACTTTTAAGGGCTACATAATATTCTATTGAGTGCTCTTCCCATAAGTCACATAATCATTTCCCTACTGTTTGACATTTAGTCTGTTTTCAATTTAAAAATATAATTTCTTGATCTTTCTAAATTGATAGCATTGTACTTTCCCATAAGATTAGGTTTTTGTGACATATTTATAAATTCACCTAGGATGATTACCTGAACACATCCTTTCCTATATGAAATAATTGGAACTTGAAGCATTATTTCTCAGTCCACTGACAACTATCTTTATCAGAGTATCCAGGGTTTATGTGTGAGAAGGACCAGGCTGGGCATATTGACTGAACCCTGGGACGTTTTAGTTCCATCAAACGTAATGTTAGACAACCACCATCAAGTTCTTCGTTGATTTTTTTCATGGTCATAGCACAACATGGAAAAACCCCCAACATATGCTGCTTTAGCAAATGTATTAGTGACACATGAAATCCCTAAAAAATACTAGTTTAAACAGTTTGAATGTAAGTTTTATATTACAATGACTAGCTATATAGAACCCACATGTGAAGTAAATGTATCAGTCCTGATCTGTAGAGTTCCCAGAGTAAATTTGGGCAGAGATTCAGAAGTGTGGCTAGCAGATCCTTCAGGCAGCTGTGAGGGAACACTGCCCATCTTCTTTGTCCTGCCAGGTTAGGGGTAGGTAGACTTCTGGTCAAAACATCTATCATTTGCTGCTGAATTTTTGGAAATAACTTGTCCAGGAAAGGGGTATTGTGTGGGTGGCATTGCCCTCTGCTGGATTTGATCCCAAATGTCAGTTCTGCCTAAGAGTGAATTACTATTCTTATTAAATATGCTC